CTTCCACTGTATCTTGTCATGCAAAGTTTTTATCAGAAGTGATGCTGGAAAATGAGGAAACGGTTTAAACAAGGAATACCCAAGATATTTGGGGGAACCTGCAGAACCCCCTGAGTTTCCTCCTCAGGAGTTACCCCAAGAGCTCTGTTTTTTACCCCTGACCGCGTGGCTCCCGTTTGTGTTTGCTTGCAGAGTGGTTGTGCTGGAGAGCAGACCCACAGAAAACCCCACAGCTCACAGCAACCTCTACATCTTGGCTGGACACGAGAACAGTTACTGAGCAAAGCTCAGCCACCCAACAGCAGAGGGAACGGCCACGCTGGGACCGGGCAGTGCCACCAAACCGGGACTCGCTGCTTCTCGGCTYGACACCGCAGTCCTGGTGGTTTTCAGGGTGGGAATCAATCCATTTTTGCAGCTGGGAACAGCTGGTTCTGTCTCTTGCCACTGTGTGGTTGGTTATATGGAGTTTGCTTAATAAAAGCTGAGATAAAGAGCCCTTTACTCGTTAGTTCTAGGGGAACAGAGCCTTGAAACGTGTTCTGCAGTAAAGGTGCCATAAACTGTTAAATATTTTCCTTCCCTTGGATTTTCCTTTTATTCTGTAGATACAGATCTAGTGCTGGCTGTTGCCCTGTTTTATACTGAGTCTTATTCTTAATAAAACAAAGATTTGTGTAGGAAGTGAAAGTATCTGCAAAGCTTTTTGGTTTTAAATCTGCCATTGGGTATGGCTTTGTATAATAGACTATTTAATCCTTATTTATTAATCTGCTGCTAGGATGGGGTAATGTCTAACTTTTAGTAAAGGAAGGTTGCAGAGCAGCTTACATTTATTTTTTTTTTTTACAATTGTATAAAGATTTGATTATTCTTTTTCCTTGTAGGGATGTAGTGCGTTACTGAGGGGTGTGTTACCGTGTTGGGTGATCTTGTAAAAAAATGCAGTTTTGTACAACAAAGTATTTTGTACTGATTTTTCTGCCTGCAGAATTGCCATAAAAGGGATTTTCTTACTTCTAGACGTAGGGTGTGTGTAAACAAAGTAGAATATTGATATCAGATTTGTTGCTCCTGGGTGGCTGTGTAGAATATCCACGTGTGTGTGTGCGTGCATGTGTGTGAAGTTGACTGGCAGTGTGTATTTTTTATATATATATTTATAGATATATATATAAAAATGTACAAAACATATATGCTTTATTTTTCATAAGTTAGGGAGAAGCCTTGTGACACGACATGGAAATTGTAGCAGGTCATCATCCTTAATGAATGAAAGTATCATGTATCCAACTGCCCACGACGTGTGGTTTATTTATGCTGTTCCAGAGGGGAGCCTGGAGCCATGGCTGAGCCTGAGCAGCATTCCAGCTGCTGCCCCACAGGCTTTGGGAACCCCAGCTGTGTGGTGTAAATAAACATGATAAGAACCAGTATTCTATATCCAAGCTTTGATCGCTTTTTCCCTCTTTGGTCACTTGCATTTTTTTTTTCTTTCACTTTCTCCATTGAAGAGTCGCATCGGTTCCTTTTGTCTTCCTCATTAATTAAAATTCCCGAGGTACCATTAAATATAGACTGACTCCAGGAGTGCATCTGGTTTTACTACCTCACATTACCCTGCTGGCTTTGATGTGAACACAGTCCTTGGGCAGGTGCAGTAGCAGCTCATAAACATTTATTTCAAAGGTTTTCTTAATTAAATGCTGCAGGAGGCTGCTGCCTGTTCAGCTCCTGAGATCTGCTGCCTAGGAAGGRATTCCCAGGTCATTTTAACAGAGCAGTAAAGGTGTGTGACAGCTTTGGTGCTGTGTTGGCATCGGGCTCCGTGATCCATAATTTAACACGGAGGGAATTGTCTGGGCCCACGTGATGGCTCAGGGATGTCTCGTTACTCAGGACAGCTGCAAGTTGGAAAGGTCCAGAGGGGAAAATAACCCTGCATTTTAGCCACTGTCATTCAAAACTAGTTCTTGTTGATTTGACATCTAAATCAAGTCGAGCTTTTCAGTTCTGACAGTGTCAAAGCTTAATAAATTGTAAGTGTACAGAGAAAATTTAAAAATCACGGAGCATGGAAAATGTGCTTTAAGGGTGGTCAGCTGGAATTTGATCAGCAGTATTAAAAACAGGACGTGTGATACTTGTCTTTTAAAGAAGCTGAGTTCTCTAGTATTGAAATTACTTCTCCACAGGTAACAGTGACTGGTGATTAACCTCAAATGGTGCCATTCCTAGTCTACAGGAACTTCAAAAATTAAGATGAAGTCAAGCACCAGGTGTAGATATTGTAGAGCAAACACTTTTTAATTTACCTCATTCACTACAGAAGGTAATTTCAGCTTCATCTTTGAAAACACTTAAAGGAGTAAAAGACTAGAGAAACCTGTAAATAAAATCTGAATATTTATGGGGAATAACTGGAGTACATAACTCTYAGGTCATGACACTGTCATGAAGAAATAACGAGCTGAAAGTATTTTTCTTTGACACGAATGACTGGTGTTTTGCTGGATCATAAAGAATAAACTTAGGAAATTCCTCATTTAATCAAACCTTTTTTAGCTGTTGAAGCATTTCTWATGGCATGTTTTGAAATGCTTTCCTGCTGGTTTCATAGACAGTGGCATTTTTGGCATGATCTGCAAGATTCTGTTTCCTAATGTGAAACCTCACTTTTGTTCCGTACCACAGAGCAGATTTACGTGTTCCATAGTCAACCCAGCCAGCCTTGGTGGCTCTGATCAGTATAATTTGTGTTTGACTGTTTAATTTAGTCTGCTATTGTCTGTAGTTTTGTTTTTGTGGAATTTAAACCAGGTTTGAGAAAGCTTGATGGGGGGAGTTTGGGGGTTATGAAGCAAAAGCTTGCTCAGCCCCTCCTTCCTCGCTCAAAGGTTTAATTATTGGATGCACGAGGTCATGTATCCGACGTGAAAGCCTTAAAACAGGCTCCCAGAGCTCTTGGAAATACAAACAGCATGAGAAGAGCAATCTGTGGATTAGTCTCTTTGGATTTCCTAACCAAATTACTGGAAAGTGAAAAATCCATCCGGAATTGTGCTGACATCTCTTTAGAGAAGAAAGGTACAACGCATCAGTGAGCCACGGTGTCTCTGGATGSAAAGGACAAGACTGGGAGACTCTGAAATGTGCTTTTTTTTACCTTGTTTAGTCGTTAGGTGTAACTGAGACTCATAACTGCACTCGTTCAGTTTGTGTAACCAGGCTTTGTTCCACGGGAATTTCTGTTGCAGTTCAGTCTATGCCAAATAAACTGCTTTAATGGATCCGCGGTGTGGTGACTCGCTGGGAACAATGCCTTATCAAGAGGGATCTCGGGAGAAGCCAGCCRCTCTCCAGGTTTTGTGGCTGCTGCGGGAAGGACCTGGCGCCGCTGTTCTCCATCCCACAGCTGCCAGGAGCCAGCAGCAGCTCCCACAGGCAGCGGGATAGMACAGCAGGGAGAAATCACAATAGCAGGGGAAATTGTTCCTGATCTAGCCCTGCTGCCACTCACCTGGGATCGCCGAGGAAGCACTCTGGCTGGAAAAGCAGAGGTTGGGAAGAGAGCAGGGGCTGGTGGGCTCTGAAGGGCTGCTTAGAGAAGGAAAACACAGCTCAGTCTCAACAGGATCCAAATTTGCACCTTGTCCTCACACCTCGGCTGTTTGCTGCAGGTGCTTCAGGTGTATCCCAGATCTTCAGGGATCTGCCGAGATAGAGGCAAAAGGAGGTTGGAAAAATAATACAATTAATGTGCCTTTGGACAACACAACTGGTAGTTACTGGTAAATAAATACACAGCAATATTCCTCCTCATCAGAAGGTTGTTACCTCTGGTGAATCTCGGCAGCTGGAGTGTGAGGGTCCCTGATGGACTTGGCTTGGGAAGAAAAGGAATTAATGGGTTTTTGTTCTGAGTTGGGGRGCACCTCAGGAAAGGATTGGGGAGGGAGGAAGCGTGAGATGGAGGGGGGTGTCCACACTTATTTTCAGATCTAACATTGGAAGCAATTGGCATTACACAAGGCCACCTTTGTCAGGGGATGAGGAGAGGGATAAGGATCCAGGGACCCAGGAAAGAGAACAGGAAGGCAAGAGATGGAAATGCTCAATGAGTCTGGCTGCTGTCACTATTTGGTGACAGACACCTGAGATACTGGAACCGGGCAGTGGGGAGGTGTTCCAGGGGGAGATTCGAGTGCCGCTTGAGGCTGGCAGACCCTGTGGAAGACTCTTCCTTCTTCCAACCCTCCAGGAAAAAAGAGTTAGACCTAACGATCTTTTGGAAAGGTAGGGGCAAAGACATGATCATGGCAGGGGGGCTGGAGCTGGATGTTCTTTAAGGCCCCTTCCAGCCCCATCCCTGCCGCGGTTCTGTCTCCCCATGAACGCAGCGCTGCGGGGCACGAAACCGGGGGAGATCGGGAGTTGTGCGATCAGTGTTCAGCCAGGGCATCCCCCGCTCTCCTCCCCTCCCTCCCGGGGACCGCCCCGGCAGCTCCGGTGTCCCCGGGGCGGTTCCTGAGCCTCCCCCGCCCGGCTCGGCGCTGAGGCGGCGGCGGAGCGCGGCGGGGCCGCCCCGGCCATGGAGCGCTACGAGAAGCTGGGTAAGGTCGGGGAGGGCTCCTACGGCGTCGTCTTCAAGTGCCGCAATAAGGACACGGGACAGATCGTGGCCATCAAGAAGTTCCTGGAGTCCGAGGAAGATCCGTTGATCCGGAAGATCGCCCTGAGGGAGATCCGAATGCTGAAGGTGGGAGCGGAGCGGACCCCGCTGCCGGCACGGGCTGTGCCCGCCATGGCGGGGAGCGCTGAGGGAGCGGACGGGGACGGGGCTGAGGGGGACCCGGGAGGGGACGGAGCCGTGAGGGGACGGGGTGTGAGGCATCCATGAAGGGACATCGTGAGGCTGCAAGGCGTTAGGGCAGCAATTAGGACGTAGAGTGTCGTGAGGGGATGGGGCATCGTGAGGGGATGGGGCATCGTGAGGGGACGGGGCATCGTGAGGGGATGGGATGTGAGGGCACCCATGAAGGGACGGGGCGTGAGGGCACCTGGGGGTGTCGTGAGGGGAGAAAGCAAAGAGAAGAAGAAGAAGAGCGCCATGAAGTGCCCAAATCAGTCAGCTCCTGTGGCAGAAAGCCGGTGCCGGGGAATGTCCGACCCGCTTGTCCAGGGTTGGCGATGCCCGGTGATGCTGCCCAGCTCAGGTGGGTGCAGGTGGGAGCTGAGACACGGCTCTGAGCCTCATCAGGTGCTGCGGCTTCTGTAGGGGTGGTGGAGGAGCATCAGCGCAGTCACCGAGTGCCCTGCACAGAGGGATTGATGGATCCAGGCTCTGTCCCCCGTGGAGTCAGCGGTGTCCTGGCCGGTGTGGGCACAGCTCTGCCCKTGGTGTGTGTCACAAACCCCTCTGCGTCCGGGAGATCCCCCAGAGCGACTGGAGCCGGTGTAAAACACACAGGCAAAAAGGAGTTGTAGACAGCACAAGAGGGGGACAGCCATAGGACACAGCTCTCCCTGCTCCTTATTGATAAATCTGCTCCAGATTCTTCTTAAAACATCCTTTCTGAGCCCCTGGTTGTGTGGGATCCAGCTGTGGATTGAATGCTAGGGATCAGGTATTCACACGTGGAAGCGACAGCAGAACCAGCACCAGTGAGCCAAAGCAGCGCCTTTTCTTTGCTGATCTTTTCCTGACCTGTGAGAGCTCATCCTCACACAGAAACGGGTCACTCCTTCAGCCGCTGGCTTTATGTTTCCAATGAAATAAAAGCATAGGAATAGCTGCAGTGAGTCACACCCCAGGTGTATCAAGAAATGAGGAGAGACCCGGGAGAAAGGTAAAGTTTCCTTTCACACTCCCAGCTYCTGGGCAAGGATTCTGAAGCCAAAGGTTGTATCTGTTACTTTGTGCTTAGAGACATTTGCAGACTGTTGGGACTCTGTCCCATCTCTTTTGGGACTCGTGTGTTCATTCGGTCTCCATAGTTTCCTGAGGCTTTAGGAATGTGTTGTGTGAAAAAAAAAAAAGATTCCTTTTATTTGTTGCAAGTTGCTGCTGGGTGATGGCACAACGTACCCTCAGCTGTGTGTTCCAAGAAGTGGGAGGTGCTCTTTTCTGCTTTCTCCAGAGTGCTCATGATTTGTACGCCCGCCATCGTAGGAAAGCCATCATCTAGGAAAAAAAGCTTATTTATTTTTCAGTTAGTTTTAGGGAGAAGCAGTCTAAGTTCTTCTATCCAAAGTAAACATGTAGCTGTATTAATTCAGTAAACAATGCTAGGTTTACATTAAGATTTAAGTAATGTTAAACATCTGAAAAGGAAAATAATCATTGCAGAAATCCCTTGTAATTCAGCTGGGAACTGCATCATCCTTAAGGATCCAATGCCACTGCAGCCAGGGACAGCAGAATCTGTGTTGGGGCACTGTTGATTTTAACAAGTGCAGACCTGCTTGACTCTTTTCAGCTTTTTCTGTGTAAATAGTAACAATTTGTTTATTTGTTGAGGTATTTCCTGGCTTAGGCAACTCCTGTTTGTCAAAGATGGAGAGATATTGAGTTTCATCAGTAAAAAATGTGGGGCCTGATAAATTATTTTTCTGCACARGTAAACACCTTGCAGACAAAGGGATTTTTGTGGCCAGGAGCTAAGGGAGGTGGGGTGGGAGTTTGCAGAGTCCTGAAACCATGGAATCCCAGAATGGTTTGGGTTGGAAGTGATTCCAAAGCTCAGCCCATTCCACCCCTGCCATGGCAGGGACACCTTCCACTGTCCCAGGGTGCTCCAAACCCCATCCAGCGTGACCTTGGGCACTGCCAGGGATCCAGGGGCAGCCACAGCTTCTCTGGGCACCCTGTGCCAGGGCCTCCCCACCCTCACAGCCAGGAATTCCTTCCCAATATCCAAGGCCAAGGGGGAATGGMTTCCCACTGCCAGATGGAACCCTGGGAAGAGCTTGTTGCCCTCCCATGTAGGTCAGCTCCTAAAATAAATATACAGAGGCTGAGCTGTAGCAGAGCTGGTGCTTCACATCATGCTGTACTTGTAGGAAGGGCTCAGCTTAAGGAATTGTGACCCTGCAGGGAAAATCCCTGTCCCCCACACCTTCATTGTGCAGTACCTGACCAGTCCACCCCCCTTGTRTTGCAGCAACTCAAACACCCCAACCTGGTGAACCTGCTGGAGGTGTTCAGGAGGAAGAGGAGGCTGCACCTGGTGTTCGAGTACTGCGACCACACGGTGCTGCATGAGCTGGACAAGCACCCCCGAGGGTGAGTGGCCCCTCTCTCAGTGCAGGGCATGGTGTCCGTGTTGTTGCTGCCCTGTGGCTTTTCAGAGCAATTTCATTAATTACAGGAGAGGTTTCTCAGCCCAGTGCCCAGGAGTGGCTCTGTTGCTGTGGTTTAGCACAAGAATGGTGCAGGAGCTGTGTTCCCTCACAGCCCTGCTCACCACGGAGACGGGAGCGCTGAGCTGAGTGTTTGGGAGAGCTCTGGCTGGTGGGGGAGCAGCGAACCCCAGGGCTTGGAAATGGTTTGTTTGCTCTTTCCAGTGTTCCCATCACTGTGGGCACTGGGGCAGGGTCACTGAGCACCCACATACAGAACCAGCGACTCATAGAATCATTTAGGTTGGAAAAGCCTTCTGAGACCATTGAGTCCAACTGTTAATCCAGCCCTGCCATGTTCACCACTAAATAATTTTCCCCAAACCTCCATCTACATTTTTGAGCACTATCAGCCCTCCAGAGTGAGGAGAAGTTCCCAGGAGCTGTGCTTGCCCCTCTCTGCAAAAATTCCTTTTCAAACAGGTGCTTGTGCCAAGTGTGAGCTATACACAGGGTTTGTTCTGTCAACACCTTGTAAACAACACTCCCACCAAATACATTGTCTGTAATTATCCAGGGTGCCTTGGTGCTGTGGAAATGCTAAGCAGAAGTCCATAAATCATTTCACAGGAGGGCTGAGTGAATTGCCTGCAGGAGACTRATTGGGGCCTGAGTAAACAAGAGCCTGTTATTTATTCCCTTTCTCCCCAAGAATGGAGCACAGGCTTTGTGAGCTGCTCAGCAGCTGTCACCCCACTTTGAAGCTGTTCACCTGGAACCTGAAGAGAGCATGGATAACTCTCTTTGAAGGARATGCTTCCCATTTGCTCACTGTTCATCAGAACAATTCCATTGTGAGGGAACATGTAACAGCTGGCTGCATGCTTTGCTTTTCAGCTTTGCTAGGGCAGATGSTCAAGTCTTTGTGGTCAGGTTAAAGATGGGTGGGTACATGTTGTTTCCAGCTCATTTGACCAACTCCATCCCCTTTTCAAGCTGTAAGAGCAGCACTCCCATCATTCTGGGATGTTTCTGGAAGGAATCTGTAGTGTTGCCACAGTAGCATCAGCAGACTGTCAGTGTCCCATTGACAGCAGAAAGTGAAAGCCAGGCTGGAAAGAAAAACCCAGGGTTGTATTGTTTTGGCTTTTTTTTTATTATGATCAGAAGCTTTTCAGCAGTAAACACATTAAATGAAATTGTTTGAGTTTGAAAGTGCCAAGTTTTTCACCTGTGCCTTTCCTGGGGCTGTTGAAGATCATTACAGACAGCCAAGGAAGTTCAAGAACTGTTGCCCAGTAACTGAAARAAAGGAGAGGGGGCTGGGAGGTGTTTGCTGTCTCTGAGAGGGAAGGAGAGGGGATMCAAACCAAAGCAGAGCTTTGTACTCTGTGTGAACACCTTTCCTTGGCCCATTTTGTCACTCTCCTCTGGACAATCAGTGCCATGGCAGCATTCCATGATTCTATCCCATGGGTACTCCAACAGTTCCAGCCCTGAGCAGTTGCTGAGGCAGAAATTCCTGCTGGCATTTCGGGATTGCCAGGAATCAGGATGCCAAACACAAMCCTAGGACAGGATCTGGTACAGATCCATTTTGCTGTGTGGTCATAGTGGCAGCCCATGCTGGCTGTGACAGTACTGTCACACTTGTAGCTGCCATAAATTCTTGTGTCTTGTTGCAYTGGCTGGATTTGGAAATGTTTGCTGAATTTCCTTAGGGTTTTGCTGAGAGATTCCTGTACAATGAAGCCTGCAATGAAGCCTGCCCATAGGCCTCCTCTTCCTTTTCCCTGTAATGATGAAGTTCTCATTGGTGGCCAAAATAAAGCTGTRTTTTTTCCAACAGGGTGCCAGAGTATCTGGTGAAGAGCATAACCTGGCAGACCCTGCAGGCTGTGAACTTCTGCCACAAACACAATGTGAGTCCCCTAATCAGCATTAACGATTGCTGGAGCATGGCCTTGGAGGAGAGGGGGGTTCTGTTGGCATTTTCCTGATTACAGAGCTTTCATGGCATGGAGTCAGATGGAATCTCCTGTTTCCAGCAGGAAACACACCTGAAATAYTGGTGTGTACCCACAGCTGCCTTCACTGTCACACAGGCCCCTTGGGTTGGCTGTCAAGGAATGATTTGCTCTAATGACCTTAGACAAACTTCCAGGAGGGATGGGAATGTATCCTGGTGTGATCCCTGTGCCCTGTGCCACTACTGACCTTCAGGAACCTGCCTCAGCTGGGAGCTGAGCAAACTGCTGCTGATTTCACAGAAAACCCTTCAGTTGACTGYCATGGAATTGAATCATGGCACCAGTGAAAAGATTTCAAAACTTACACATAGTGAACCCATTTTACAACCCCTCCTCTGCTCTCTGGAGGGAGATGTGACTTGTGTACATGACAGATGCTTCAGCGGGAACATTTTAAGAAGCAGGGAAGGAGAAGGAGACTTTTAGAGAAGTTTTTAGATAAACTTAGCCATAATTGCCTTTGTTTTTGTTCATCTGCCAACATTTGAGATTTAAGAGTGGGGCAGGAGATGGCTCTGGAATGGGTGTTTTGTCTTTGTTGGGAGAATTATGTCCAGTTGAGCCACAGGAACTTGGCCACAGGTCTCTCCTGCGTCCAAAATTTGTTGATTTGCGTCTTTTTTCTGTTACCCTGCTCAATCTGAAAGATTTAATGGAGCTTGGGAGCAGAGGGAACAATGACATGCTGCAGCCTGATCTGCTGTAGATCACAGGTAATGAGGTTTTAYGCAGCTGCCCTTTTTGGAACTCCATGACAGTGGCTTAATAAGCAGCATTTCAGTCYTCAAGAGGAGACACAATAATTTACCACCAGCTTGGCGAGGAAAATCCAAGGTGGGAGAGGTACAACAGGAGTGAGACCCCAATGAGTTGAGAACAGCCAAAGAAATAAAGGTCTTGGCTAGTTTGATCAGCAGAAATTCTTTGCCAAGCCCAAATTCAGTTGCTGTGAAGGACAAGGTCACCTCCAAAGAATCACAGAATGGCTGGTGTTGAAARGAACCTCTGGAGATCCTCCCATCCAATCCTCCCTGTCAGGCTGGCTCAGCTAGAACAGGCTGCTCAGAAGCTTTTCCAGTCAGGGTTTCGGTATCTTTAAGGTTAGAGGCTCCACAGACTCTCTGGACAGCCTGTTTGGGTGYCTGGTCACCCTCTCAGTAAAAAAAGATAAAATAAATTAGTTAGATTTAAACGGAATTTCTTGTGTGATCAGTTTGTGCCCATGGTCTCTGTCCTTTCCCTGGCACCCCAAGGAGGGCCTGGCTGAGTCTCCTTTACTCCGTCCCATCAGGTATCAATGCTCATTGAAGAATTTCCTCCAGAGCCTTTTCTTGATGGTTCCAGTCCCTCATCCTCTCTTTGCACGTCAGACACCCCAATCCCTTAAATTTCAGTGGCCTTTCACTGGAATCACTCTGATATCCCCACATCTTCCCTCTAATGCAGATCCCAAAGTTGGACACACTGCTCTGGGTGTGTCTCAGCAGTGCTGAGCAGAGCTCTTGCTGAGCTTTGCCCCCCAAACGATTTGCTAAGAGCTTCCCTGGGGTTTGGGGAGCTGCCTTCCTGTTGTCCAGGTGACACAGAATGGTGCAGYTTAAGCTGGGAGCCTGCACCGTGTCTCTTCCAAAGATGGGCTATGGACAGGTCATGTCCTGCTGCTCAGAATCCCTTCCATCTTCTCTTTCAGCAGGAATAACTGCCTGGCACAGCGTGGCTGAATTTATCTGAGGGCCAGGTTAAATACTTGCTTCTAACCTTGCTTTTTTTTTTTCTTTTTCCAGTGCATCCACCGGGATGTAAAGCCRGAAAACATCCTGATAACAAAGCACTCGGTCATCAAACTTTGTGACTTTGGATTTGCTCGAATACTGAGTGAGTGCAGACTCTCTACATACACAGAATGCATGATCAGCCATTGACTCACTTGTCTTTGGTGCACTGCAAATCATCCTATATAAAAGGCTGTGTGTTTTCCCAGGGAAGCTCTGCTAAAGGCTGGGGAGAGATTCCCAAATGGTGCAGGGAGGGAGCCCAGACACCGTGGTGTGAACAAGCTGAGCTCCCTGCTGGGGCAGCTGAGTTGCTGGGGGTGCTGGTACTGGAGATGGAAGTTGGTCTTGGAGCTGCCCAGCCGCTGTTTATGCAGTGCTGGAGACACAGCTGGAGTTCCCTGGCAGGAAGAGTCWCTCTGGCTGCTTCTGCAAACAATGKCTTCACGTTTTCCGTTGTAAATAAACCCTCTGATCTGTTTTCTTTAGCTCCTGTTTGGACAAATCACATGGGCTCTAAGAACTGCCCACTGGTGGGTGCAGGGCCCAGCTGTGGAGCTCTGCACATTTTCATTTGGAGGCAAACACGGTCTTGATTTTTGCCAGATCCTGAGTGTTCCCAGAGTTGGGTTCTGCAAGTGCCCAGTGACTCTGGCCTGTCCCAAACATGTGACAGTGATGAGGGCTGGTCGGCATTGCTCTGATCCCACATTCCTGTTTGTGTCTCTCTCCCCTGACCCCAACCCAGCTGGTCCCAGTGACTACTACACCGACTAYGTGGCCACCAGGTGGTACCGGGCCCCGGAGCTGCTGGTGGGGGACACCCAGTACGGCCCCCCCGTGGATGTGTGGGCCATCGGCTGCGTCTTTGCCGAGCTGCTCTCCGGGGTGCCCCTGTGGCCGGGCAGGTCGGACGTGGACCAGCTGTACCTCATCCGCAGAACCCTGGGTGAGCATCCCCTTGTGCTTGCCCGGGAAGGGATGCCCTCTCTGGTGGGAATCGGGAACAGCCAGGAGGGGAATTTACCCAGCAGCTCCCTCCCTTTAGTAGCTGCCGGTTTATTTGAGGTATCCTTGAGAAGGAGCTGGGTTTTCCTGGCGTGGTGCAGATGTTTTAACAGGCTCCCAGTGGAGCAGGCTGAGGAAGCAGGAGCATTGCCTGCAGACTGCCTGGAACCATCCCTCCACTCTCTTTAGCCTCTGGGAAGCTGAGTCTGGATCTGGGCAGATTAGGAAATATGTGGGATGTGTTTGGTGACCACTGGACACCCCTTCTGRTCCCTTGGGGAGGCTCGGTGCCTGCTGGGGAGGGGGAGCACAGGAATTTCATCTGTCTCCATACAGACAAAAAAAAATGAGGTGYATCAGAAAGGACCAGGAATGCTTTCCATAAAACTTGGAAAGATCCAAGTGTTTTTTCAGGGTTTGGTACCAAGAAAAGAAGTCTCTGAACAGCTGGATTCAGTTCATCCCAGCCTTGGAGGTCTCATGAGCATTGTCAGTGCCTGTTGATGGCTGTGTGCCTGGGAAGGGAGTGTGAGCATTGCAGCTTGACTATTCCATGTGTTTGTTGTTGTTCAGCAAGGAATTTTAGGAACCACTCCGTATTTATGTCAAATTAAAGGGCTGCTATCCCATAACAATTAAACTAATCCAGTCCCATTGATTTTTTTCAATTTTGGTGTGTAACATCTGATTTCTTGAATGACAACAAACAACCCCCCCTTTTAACTGGAATTTGTTGGAATGAACACAATTGTAATTTTAACTGAGCAGTTTATAAAACTACAAAGGTGACAAATGGCTTTAAACAGATTAGCTCCTTAGCTAGAAAAATGGTTCATCACTGATTGCTTCATCCTCCAGAATTCATTAATGCCASTGTAAGGCACTTATAATTTATTTTTAATGATAGGGTTTCAGCCAGAAGAGATTCCCATTGGATTATTGGATCCAGGTGCTGGACTGAGGCAGTGTTCACAGAGCAAAGCTCCTTGATTGAAGCCAAGCCCTTATGGGGGTTGGCATTGTACTGGCTCCTTTGCCATGGATTTGATTTTAACATTTTCCTCTCTCTGAGCTGCTCCAAGCTTCAAAAACTTTGCCTTGGGGAGAAGCTGTGGCATGTTCAGGTGGGGCTGTGTTCCAGCTCTTTCCTACACAGCACCCTCAGGAGTCTCCAAAGAGAATTTCACCCGAAAGGAGTTAAATTTTCCTGCAGCTGGAACASTTAATGGCCCTGCCTTTCCTTCAGCACACAGGGGTGTGGGATCACTGATGGGCAAAATGGACATTAATTGTCACAAAACAATATTTCTTTTGCTCACTTGGTGCTCTTCCATCTCTTCAGATGTTCTCTTGGATTGGCCGTGATAGAGGATACAACCTTTTTCAATGCAGACACTGTAAAAACAATAAATTAATCCAACTTTGTTTTGTTTTGTTTTGTTTTGTTTTGTTTTGTTTTTTAATTCTTGGACGAAGGAGATCTCATTCCCAGGCACCAGCAAGTGTTCAGCACCAACCAGTTCTTCAGTGGGGTAAGAATTCCTGACCCAGAGAGCATGGTAAGAGCTGCCTCCAGCTACAGTGCCCTCCCTTCCCCAGCTTGCCTGGTCCTTTTACTGTGTGGCATTTTTCCCTGTCCAAAATCTTTGTCCTCTGTTTTGCCAGTGTGCACCAGAATATTATTTGGAGGTGTCTGAACCCCTCTCATGACATTTTAACTTACAGTCTGTGTAAAAGCAGTCAAAAAATGTTTGATCTCAGCTCCTTTTCCCCATTTCTGGTGGCAYGTTCTCTGTAATGCCAGGCCTCTGAGCACAGAGTGATGGAGGCATTTTGTCAGTAAAAGGGCACGTTGCTGTGGAAAGCTGGGTCTTGGTACCCTGAGAAATGAAAAGCTTGCTAATATGACTCACTGGTTTGTTTTTTTTCCCTCCAGGAACCATTGGAAATGAAATTCCCCAATATTTCATACTCTGCTCTGTCTCTCATGAAGGTAAGAAAACTCCAGCTCGTGGAGGAGCTCTGCACTGAGATGAACAAATGTTGTCTGGGGTGAGAGTTTGGGACTTCATTATCTGAGATTCATTGAAAAACAGATGGTTTGCTACCCCTTGTGATTGTAYCTTGAGCCACAGTTCCTACTACAGTTGTGGACTCCCCATCCCTGGAAGTGTCCAAGGCCAGGTTGAACAGGGCTTGGAGCAACCTGGGATAGMAGAAGGTGTTCTGCCCATGGCAGGGGGTTGGAACCAGATGATCTTYAAGGTCCCTTCCAACCCAAACCATTCCATGATTCCATAATTAATTTTTCCAGTTGTTAGATAATTAGCTGCTCCTCAAGCTTCATGCTAGCTCAGAAAAGCCACTCTTRGAATCCATTAAAAAAATTAACAAGTACCTGTGGGAATACTCATTAGCTGTGGGGAGCAGATGGAATTGTGCAGACCCAATGAATGTTTTGTGTGATCCTCCATCTTTTCTAAGGTCTGCCTTCGGATGGATCCCGCAGAGAGACAGACCTGTGAGCAGCTGCTGCAGCACCCCTATTTTGACAGCTTCAGGGAGGCAGCAGAGCTGGGAAAAGAATATGAAAAAACTGCTCGGAAAGCAGGCAGGCTGCCTCGGAAGCACTTGCCAGGGGTGAGGTTTCCATGCTATTTCATTTCTGTGCCCATGGAGGGGCTGGTTCTTTTGCAGGGGGTGGGCTGTGTTGGCAGTGAGGGTGTTGGACTGGTTTTGGTTCTGTCCTGAGGGGAAAACAATCCCTCTGGCTAAAGAGTAACTCTGGACAAACTGGATTTTGCACTGCAGCTCCATGGGGCACTGGGAACGATAAGGTTTATCCGGGAATGTGCATTCCTGACAAAGAGCAGCAGGAGGGCTGARCTAACTGGACACACTCATGTAGCTGGTTTAATTTGGGATATTTTGGTGCTTTTTAATCGTGMATTATGGAGATGGAAAAACACCCACTTCTGTTTGTAACTGCCGATGGTACACAATCCCATACTCGGTTCCACATGTTACCCTGTGCACTGTGTGTTCCTGCACTGGAGCTGTCTCCCTGCTGCTCTGGCCTTTCCAGACTCCATCCCAAGTCCCCAAATCCAGCTCATTCCACAGTTCTTTATTCTTGTCAGCCACATTCCCCCAGGCAGCTGTAATGCTGAGCTGGGAACAAGCAGGGGAGTTGGAGGTGAGGGATGGAGAATTGCTACAGCGTGTCAATTCCTGATTTGCCTCTTYCTTTTCCATGACCTGGGATATTTTTCTTGCCTAATGAAATTTGTTCATGAGTTGTTCTAGTTGCAGTTCAGTCATAAAACCCTGGAATCTTAGCTTGGAAAGCACAGGATWACAGTAGGAATAGTTTTATAGCTCATATTCCATATGAAAAAGGAAATGTGTGCTTTATTCCTATTCCAAATACACACTATAACTTTTCCTTTAGTTACAGCACCTGCCCCAGCTGACCAGCAGCAACATTCTCCCAGCTTTGGACAGCAAGAAGAACTGCTGCAAGACAAAGAAATCAAAGTACCACTTCCCAAACATCTGATCAGGTGACAGATCACAACTCAGTTGTTCAAAGTCATCCAGGATTTATAAATGGAGGATACACAGTGGAAAACTAAACCACTAAAAGTTATGACATGGACGGAGTGGTCTGTCCTCTCCTCTGGGTCACTGATGGAGGGGAAATGATGCAGAAGGAACTCCAAGTTCATCCTAATGCTCTGTGTATAAAGACAAATACATTTTGCTTTAATTACTGATTGCCTCCTGGTTCAGGATTACCCCACCCCAGTGCTTACAGTGTGAAATTTAAAACTCTGACCCGTCTGTCCCCTGCATTTCAGACTTGGAGGAGAGCTGCACTTTGCCAAATGCATTGGTCCCTCCTGCTTYAGCCTGGGCCCGAGCCCCTGCTCTGTGAGGAGCTGTAACTGTGCTGCTGAAGGGGTGGGAGCTGTGCTGGTGCAGCCCAGGCTGAGGGAGTTCTCAGCTCTCAGCTCCAGAGACACCTGGCTCACTGCTGCATTTACAGAGCACAAAGGTTTCAAAGTWCTGGCGGTGACTTCACAGGCTCAACAGGCACCACTCCCAGAACAGAGCCACAATAACCCTGTTGTTTCTTTAGTCTTTTCAGATCTCCTCCTGCAAGTTTCATCCTTGAATTTTGTTTTTGACAAGAGTGAGGGCACTTGCTTGAAGTCACAAAAATGTTTTTAGCAAAACTAATCATGAATATAATTTATAACATTGGCCAGACACAGGCAGGAATCCTACCTAAGTGTTTGTGTTAGATCGACTCGGGTTTGTGAAATCTCAGAATGCAATACTTTTGATTTTGAATAAAAGAAATGTAGCTTCTTTTTCCAATTTACTGGAGGTCTTTTATTATACAAAGTTTTACTGCTGGGCAAGGAACATCCTCTTYTTACTTGACACTTACAGCAAATATGTTTTCCCAGTACATTTTGTGTTCCACACAGTAAAAGCCCTTTCAGTGGGACAGATGYCCTGTCCTATGTGTGCCTGTTGTTGTTTTGTTTCCTTAGAAAACCAAGTCTGAGACAGCACTGTGCCTCTGATTGCTTGGAATCGCTGCCTCCTGCCCTTCCCTACCACCAAAACCAGSGGTTTGACTAAAAATGTTGTGTTGTCCCCAAAGATGTCATTGCCACTGTGCTGGGCATTGGTGAGCAGTTTTGAGTCTCTCACAGGAAAGACTCTGAGGGTCTGGAGCATGTCCAGGGAAGGGAACAGAGCTGGGAAGGGTCTGGAGCACCAGGAGTGGCTGAGGGAGCTGGGAAAGGGCTGAGCCTGGAGAAAAGGGGGATCAGGGGGGACCTTGTGGCTCTGCACAACTCCCTGACAGGAGGGGACAGCCGGGGGGATCGGGCTCTGCTCCCAGGGAACAGGGACAGGAGGAGAGGGAACGGCCTCAGGCTGGGCCAGGGGAGGTTTAGGTTGGATATTGGGGAAAATTCCTTCATGGAAAGGTTGTCCAGCCCTGGCACAGCTGCCCAGGACAATACTGGACTCACCATTYCTGGATGGCACTCAGCAACATGGGTCAGTGGTGGCMTTGGCAGTGCTGGAGGAACAGYTGGACTCCATGATCTCAGAGGGCTTTTCCAACYTCAACGATTCTCAATRATTTTTATTTATCAGGAGTGATGAGGATGCAGCTGAAGAGCTGCACAGAACTGCTTTAGTCCATGTCAGCACACAGCAGGAACGTGCTCAAAGCTGTATCCAAGAGCTGCTGCTGTTCCTCCACAAAAAGCCATGTTCCCTTCAGCAGCTCAGTGCTCCTGAAGGGGTGGCCCTGCCTGTCTGTAGATCATTCCATTTAAACCAGACAACAGTCCAAGTGTGAAGAACACAAAAAAAGAGCCATAATCTCTTTTATTAAGTCAGCACCCACCAACTGGGTGAGATTCTCCGAGAGAAAACAGCACCAACACCATGCATCAACTGCACATACCCTGACATTCCCCCTACTGCCACTTTGCTTCTGTGCAATAAAATACTGAAAAGTTCTAACTGAGGTATTAACAGCTTCCTAGAAAAACAGGAAACAGATGCCTACGTGCAGAGGCCTGCCTTGTCTGTTGTTGAGTTTAAGCTTAATAAAACTTAATTGCATMATTTCTCAAAAGGTCACATACAGCTGTTGAGGCTGGACTGGGAAAGCCGGGCTTATTTCCATACTGGAAATAGAGCAGTGTCTACAGCTTCATTTATGCAATAAAGACAAATCCTAGGAAATCATATACATCTCAGTTTCRTGCTGTTGTGTTTATTCCAAATCCAACTCCAGCTCCAAGTTCGGCAGCGCCTGCTGAAGGACACGACAGGTCGTTTCTTTCTGTTTGATCCCAGGAAGGTCACTCAGATACAAATATTCAAGGTTCCTGTAAGTATTTAAAAAGAAAATGGGCAACTGCAATTGAACTGCTGACAGAGAAATTTGAAKAAAGAATTATTCTACCACTGTTGTTTTGTGTATTTTAAACAGAGACTGGTTTTACTGGAAGTTTGAAGTGGGTGTTTGGGGTTTTTAGCTGCAGTATCCAACTGCATCCCATTCCCGAGCACCCAGGTCTGCCCCAAGACCCTGAGGCACGAGGGGATGGTGTGACAGGAAGCAGTGTGAGGTGGAGGAARCAGTAAAAGCTACAAGACACAGTCAAATCCTGCCCTGAAAAGCTGCTGCAGGATAGGGGTCAGGAACAGAAGTCAAGATGATCATTACTGACTCATTCTTGAGTCAAACCCAGCCACCCCACAGCCCCACAGGTCTGAAACAGCCCTGAAACTGTGAAACTCCAGCCCTTCCACCCACCACAGTCCCAACCAGCCCAGAGCAGCGTGCTACAGAAGCACTGATGGCTCACATACGTCAGCTTGTGGAGTGCAATGATGCCTTTGTCTGTGACATTCCCACAGGAAATGATCTTCAGCTGCTGGAGACTCTTCTGGAGGTTGTTGGTCTCACTGAGCCTCTCCAGACACTGGTCCTGGATGTACATGCACTTCTCCAGTYTGATATCTGTAACGTGTTCCAGACCATCTGCAAAAGGCAAAAGTGAGGATTTGCTTCAAAAACTAGGACCAATTTGTGTGCTTAGTTAAGTTCTCAATTTAATAACTGCCCCCAAAATTTAATAACTGCCCCCAGAAACACATTCCTTTATACAGGGGGGCCATAATGAACCTCCAAAGTCCCTTTGTGGTAGTTAAAATAAATGAAAATCATGGACTTTGTATCCTTTTGGTGAGGATTCTAATAGCTTTGACATGGGCAAGCAACAAAACTACAAGTTTATGTGGTAAACAATGAGTGACATAGGAATGTGCTAATGCCAGAAATTCAGGGTCCCCTGCTATAAAAAAATAAAACAGTTCTCCATTTTGGTTTCTGTTATTTAAAGACCACATGAAACACTTGTTTAATCTCTTAAGAAACCAAGAGCTTGCTTTTTATTTGTCTTTGAAGACATCCTAAAGGCCTAAAGAATGAGCAGAATAATGACTTCAGAGACCAAAATCATCACTTGGTGCAGGAGAAAAATTATTTATATTTTAGTGTTACTATAATTATTATAATAATATATCCTATTTATATTAAATACATATATTAATTTTGTTATAGTGTTATTATAATTATAATAGTATTATTATAGTATTATTTATATTATAGTATTTATAGTGCTTTTTGCTACAAACTCATCTAAATTTGTGGCACCTCCTTAGTGCTATGGACACTTCAGGTAAAGGCTGAACTTCCCAATGTCTTTCTGCTTCACACCATACTTCCAGCAAAACCTTATGGACTGATAAATATTTGTAAAGGGGGAGAAAAACACAAAAGATTTATCCACACCTTGCTAAGGAAGGAGRAAACGGTGCTGTTATTAATATTTCAACGCAATTCAGATGAAGCCCATTAAGAACAATCTCATGTGTACATTACCCAGGTACTCAAATCCTCTGTACATGATGCAGGAGTCGGTGGCATTAATGGCCTCGATCTTGTACTTGCCCMGGGGCCCTGTGGGGAGCCCGTTGTAGTCCTGCTGCCACTTGGGAGAGCCCTGGTACCTGACCAGAGCCCCGCAGCGCAGCAGCCACTCCGAGGCCGCCCGGTCGGGACCCACGGCTCGGATGCGCTCGTGGTCCACCCTGCAGGACACAAGARAGCACCCACAGCGTGTCTGTAACGTGGCACAATTATTCCCTGGAYGACAGGAATGCTCCACAGCAAATATCTGGTTATGTGCATGGTCACGAAAGGAGATGTGATTCACTAGAAATGGTCAATGGGTGATTGTTGGACTGTGCGGTGCTTAGTTCGGTGTTGAGGTTTTTTTAACTTAAGTAGCAGATGCTTTCTGATTAAAAAACAACACAAATATATCTGGACTTAAACCTCCTGAYTGTTTACTTCCATGTCAGTAAGGAAGGAAAAAAACTGGGTTTGTCTACCCAGAGTAAGGGTTTATAACTGCAAATTTCCCTCCCAACACTGACTATAAAAACCTTTCTTTGCTTGTCATTCCTGCAGCTTTTTCATAGAMTCATAGAGTCATTAAGGTTGGAAAAGGCCTCTWAGAGCATCAGCCCAGCACCACCACTAAACCATGTCCTCAAGTGCCACATCCACACATCTTTTGAACATTTCCAGGGATGGTAACTCCACCTCTTCACTGGACAGCCTCAACAATTACAGGTATTTAGAACCCCCCTACACTTCAGCACTAGTTAAATTCCTTGGGTCCATTCAGGAAAAGGATGTATTTCTTAATCTAGTGAGGAATGCTGAAGGCAGAGACTTGGAAGGGACTTCTGTCTGGTTGAATTTTTGCCATCAGCTACACCACACAACCCTTCCCACAGAGCTGGAAGACAGAATGCAAAACTCTGGAGTTCCTGCAAAAAATCATGGGCAGAGAAAATCTTTCACTGTGAAACTCTTTCTCTTCCTAAAAGTAACTATGAAACCCCTCTGTGGCTGAACCACTTTGCAAGTGATTTGGTTCGATGCCTCTCTGAGTAACTGAAAGGACACATTTGTTCTACTGGCTTAGGYGAGTTTTGGGATCAAAGAAGACCAGGATTTAGGGATAGGATCCATTTGCCAGCTTGCCTTGGCCATTYCAGGGAAGGTGCAGAACACACACCTTCCTCTAGAAGGTCACAGCTTTGGAACGGGGAGTAACCAACATGCAGTCTGAGGGGAGAGAAGGGCGTTAATGACAGAAAACGCTTCCTGCAGCGTTAGGGACTTGACTGCTCTGCTTCACAAACCGCGCAGAGAATTTGAGGGACCTGATAGTTAATTTTTTTAATTATTAACCAGCGACTCACTCTTACTTGTTGAACACGGCATTCAGCCATCCCCAGAAGGCTCTACAGCTGCCCGGCGGCTGCGGCGGCTTCCTCAAGAGTGTCCCCAACGCCATCATCACCTTCTTGACGAGGAGAGGGGAAAAGGGAGATGTTGTTTTGAGCGCCAGCAGCAGCAGGGGGAGGCCGCGCCGCCTCAAGGCCTGACCGGGGCTGTCAGCCCGGCGGGGCCCAGGGYTGCGGAGGGGAGCCCGTCACCGCCCCCGGGCTGCCCCCGAGGCCGAGCGGCCGAACCTTGCCCGGAGGCCGGCGCGGCGCTGCCCTGCCCGGCGGAGCGGGGAGCAGGAGGAGCGGGGACAGCCGGAGGAGGAGCAGCGGCCGCAGAGAGGAGGAGGAGAAGGAGGAGGAGGAGAAGCAGAAGGGAGCAGCGGCCCCAGCGCTCCCTCCGCCCCCAAGATGGCGGCGGCGCTGAGGGGGCGCGCGGGCCCGGGCGGGGCTGCGGCGCTGTGGCGGCTCCAGAGGCGGCGGCGGAGGTGAGGCGGGGGGCAGCGGGGCGGGACCGGCTCACACCGAGCACCGTCCCGCAGCTTATCCTCGTCCCCCGATCTTATCCTCGTCCCCCGATCTTATCCTCGTCCCCAGCCGTAATCTTAACTTTATCCCTATCCCGTCCCCCTATTGCTGTGCCTTTCCCCTCTCCCCTTCCCTCTCCGCTTACTTCTGCTCATCCACTTCCCCCATCCCTTTACCCTGTCATTTTTCCCTGTCCTCTTCCCCTGTCTCTCCTATATCCTCTGTATTTGCTACATATCCTTTTCCTATCCCCTTTTCCTCTCTCATACATCCCCTGTATCCTTATAGCCCCTTTCACTGTATCCTCTATCTCCTGTCCCGATCCTTTCCCCTTTCCATTATTAACCACGCCAACCCCTTTTTTTTTATCCCGTTTTCCTCTCCCCTATATCCCCTGTATTCCATATATCTCCTTCCCCTGTATCACCTCAACTTACACGCCCTTCCCTTCTCCCCT